CCCTCTCTCTCTCTTTCTCTCCTCTCTCCTCCTCCTCTCTCTCCTCTCTCTGCTCTCTTCTTTCTCTCATCTCCTCTCTTTCCTCCCTGTCTCTCACCCCTCTCTCTCATCTCTCTCCGTTTCTCTCTCCTTCAGAAGTCTTCTCCTCTCTCTCTCCCTTTCTCCTCGTTCTGTCCTCTCTATCTCTCTCTTTCCGTCCCTTCTCCGGCACGCTCTCCTCTCATCTCTCTCTCTCTCTCATTTCTTCTCTCCGATCCTCCTCTCTCTCCTTCCTCTCTCTCTCTCTCGCCACGCTCTCTCTCCTCTCTCTCTGCTCTCTCTCTTTCTCTTTCTCTCGCGTTCCCGTGCGCGTGATAGCCCTAATGCTATAACTATAACAGTCACAGGGAATTGTAACCACGGGCATCAGTAATGCTCGCATGTTGACATGTTGCTATCGATAACATCTACAGAAGCTAGCAAGCAAGCGGAGCCTGGCCGCATATATCCATTGTTCGCGACAGGAAAGGCAACCGAATGTTATCTTGCTTCTTATCACAATGTCGCGTGCCGCTCAGCGGCCCGATATGGGCCCAACAAAGACGCGTTTCCTAAACTCACACAACCTGCAGCACCCACACACACACACACACACACACAACACACATCACAACACACAACTACACACACACACACCAAACATCACACACACACACACATCAACAAACACACCACAGGCACGCAACGCACCACACACAACGCAGCGCGCACATGCACTCCACCACGGCACACGACACACAACACACACACACAACCCTATCGAACAAGCTGGCATGATCCGCGCGCGGCAGATCGCACGCACAGACATGCAGCGCAGAGCCTGCACGCACGACACGCACAGCAATACCATGCACGCACACGACACCACTCAACACAGCGCACGCAGCAGACATGCACCGCAAGCACACGCAGACATGCCACGCACGACAACTCATTCGACAAGTACGATTCGCTCGCATACCGTCACGCATAACATTACACAAGCAGACGCGCGCGACCGCACACGGACGTCCACACACACGTACGTCCTGCATGCACAAAAACACACACACACACACAACACACACACACACGACACACACACACACACACACACACACACATATCGCCAGGCACGTACACACGCACGCATGCACACACTCGAACGCACATACATAACAGTCGATTCTTATGGCATATGTATCTTATTGATGATTGTAATTAATTCACAGCTAGTAGATCAGAATTATAATATCCGATTTATAATTATAGCAGGAGTGAATAATAATAGCATAATAATAGAATAATAAAAGATAATCTATTATTATTAACTCCTATTATATAAGTAATCGAATTGCGCAAAAAAGCGCTATATAAAAGGTATTCCATTCATTGCCGCTGGAATGATTTGAATGTTCCAAATTTCCAAACTGCCTCAATACGCAATCTTTCCTACGCGGAAGTCATATCGACGGGACATAGCGCTTCGCTGTATGAACTGCTAACACAACTGCGAGCGCGACAATCATAATTCGAATAAAAACCAGAAGCTGAGCCGGACCTAATTAGATATACTTGCATAGATTACCGTGATAGCGGGCGCATGCAGGCGCCCCCGGGATACACGAACGCAGCCGATGACGGCGTGTGCGAGAGCAATGCAGGTTCAAGAGAACATGATGGCACCGGATGCCAGGACGCGGATGAGGGCGAGTACATGCTACGAGGGCCCATGTTTTGTATACGCTGCATCAGATAGATTCACAGAGATGGTGTGTGGGCGGTTAATATATTCAACATAACTTCATGAGCGTTTCACATTGGGTTAGCGTCGGTGAAAATCGAGTAGCGTCTGCATGTCTTATAACTGCACCCACAAACAACACATAACACCCAAATAACCACATGCAGCAAATAACACCCAAATAGGCTGAAGTCTCTCGCTCGGCTGCCTGTGTCAAAACATTTCGGAAAATAGCTAGAATTCCGATGGTTTCCCTCAGAAAGTCACCTTCTCTTCTAATGAACCCCCGAAAAAAAAAGGAGAAATGGGATTCGCAAAGAGAGGGGTAAGATGCGAGGGAAATGCAAAGAAAAAAAATGGAGACTGACGTACAAGTGAGGATGAAAGGAGAAGGCAGCCAGGAGCAGGAGGAGAGGATGAGAGCTATATAACGAACGAAAAAGATATGTGAAGGGAGACAAAGATAGCGAAATAGACAGATAGAAAGACAGAGTGGGAAAGAGAGAGAGAAAGAGAGAATGGGACGGACAGAAACCAGTCAAACAAACAAAGCGAGATGAGAGATGTGTGTGTGTGTGTGTGTGTGTGGTGGTGGTTGTTTGTGTGTGTGTGTGCGCGAGGCGGCGCCGCGCGGCGGTGCTGTAATGTTGTGTTATGGCGTGGCGTGAGCTGCTGTGCGTGTTCGTGGAATACTGACAGAGAACGCAAACAGAGACTAAACGCGTGAATTGGTTCAGCGTGAATAGTCAACTAAATTCAAAAGAAAAAGACCAACAACAGGTGTTATACACAATACACCACGCAACCACATGTCTCAAATGTCGCTCGTTGCCGACCACTATTGCCCATGTATGTCTGAATGAAGCGTACGAGAAATAATACTCAGCAACAAACAACGCCATATCACTACACAAATCCCACAGCATAGCTGTCAACGCTGGCAGACGGCTACCAAACGCGACACGAAACCGTCGATGAATATGTAGCGATGAATATGTAGCTATGTTTGTGCACGGCGTTAACGGCATAAGGGAAGCGACGCGTGCAATAACGCACGCAGATCGCCTTATATAGGGGCTCTCATCACAGTTAGCGCCATGCTCATAAAATGCATTCCTTTCTCGCGTGGAATAGAAAGCGTCGCCTGTCGCGGCCGCGCTGCGGGTCGACTGATTCCCCGCACTTCATAAGGTCACGTGATGAACATGGAGCGCTGTTCGTCCCGCAGCTTCTACAGAGAGAGAGCAGAAGAGAGAGAGAGAGAGAGAGAGGAGACGAGAGAAGGAGAGAGAAAGAGAGAGAAGAGAGAGGAAGAGTGAGAGAGAGGAGAGAGAGAGAGAGAGAGAGAGAGAGAGAGAAAGAGAGAGAACGAGCAGATAGAGAATGGAAAGCGAAAGAGAGAGAGAACGAGAAAGGGAGAGAGCGACAGATCGACATACAACAGAGAGGGAGAGGTAGAAGCAGAGAGAGAGACAGAGAGAGAAATTAAAAGAGTGAGAGCGAGAGAAGAGAGAGAGAGAGAGAGAGAGAGAGTGAGAAGAGAGAGACGAGAGAAGAAGAGAGAGAGAGAGAGAGAGAGAGAGAGAAAGAGTGAAGAGACAGAGAGACAGAGGGGGGTGCAGTGAGAGGGAGAGTAAGAAGGCGCAAGAAATAACAATTGAAACGAGGGTTTGTAAACGACGTAAGAAAAATATGGGAGATAAAGAAAGAAGGTAAAAGGAGAGAACAGATGGTAAGAAGAGGGCGGGAAAGGCGAGAGTGTACTGACACTATCAAGCAATAACCAAATCCATAATTCGTTACACCGTGTCAAATATTAAAACATTTATTCAGTACGCAATCGACACAGACACTAAAGTGCATCAATGTATCCCCAATTATAAACATACACGCAGGGAATGCCAGCGACAACAATTTACTGGCTTGAATCGCACAAACGTCCCGTCTGCAACGTAACAGTCAGGATCCGTTGTCGAAACAATTAGTCTTAAGACATTAGTCCTTTACAAGCAAACCGTTTCGTATGTTATGAGGAAAATCTAGCTACGATTTTTTATGCATGTAACTTGTTGCAGCGTTTCTGGTCGACGGACTAAAAGAAAAAGTTAATGTTAAGACTAATATTAAGACTAATTTTGTTGTCTGGCAAACGCCCCAGTGTTTTTTATCATGTTTGACAAAACATAGAGATTTCTTCCTTAGAATTATAGATTTTACTCGTCTATGTCTGAATTTTGAGAACATTTCCTTCCCAAAATAGCAAGAAGTCAACTCCACAACAACATCAATCGATAACAATGATTGTAATTGTTGTAGATGAGGAATACTGCCAGACTAATACGACTAGATATATCAACAAATAACATCCCTGTCGTAATGTAAAGTAAAGCACTGGTCACTAACGGAAATTAACACAATCTACTCTAATGGGAGGTATCTCTCATGGTAGGCTATTGTTAAAACCCATCAAATTAGAGAAGATGAAAAATGAGAAAAAAGAGAGAGCTCCCATTGTTTAATCACAGTATTGTATGATATTACCGACATAAGGCAATCAGTGTTTGATCCATTAATGTACTAAGGATAACGATAAATCAATTAAGTGGCAAGCCTGGCGTATGCATACGCAGTATTTCTGTACATTCATCGGATGGTCAAGATTTGACTAAGAGTAGTACATTTATAACATCGTTTAAATAAAATAGGTTATTATATATAATATAATAGTATTTATTATTTATAATATATATATATACAATATAATAATTTTTATAGATATTAACTTTATGAAAACCGCCAACCGTTTTTTAAGTTCAGAATATTAACATATATATCGCCGCCTTTACCAAATCCAATGGTGTGATAAAAGTTGAACCGTATAGATTTACTTCAAGATAGTACACATACATAAGAACTATCCTGCTGGTGGATTTACCCTGCTCCTTACGGGCAGCAAGTACCAGTGGTTGTTATAATTACAGTGACCACTGCTCGTCGGTACAAAAGGCCTACATAGTTGTCCCCTAGGTCACTACAATAACAACAAGAACCTTCTAAAAAGCGAATTTGCAACAGGGGTTAGTAAGGCCGTTCACCGCGACGTTTTGGCCCCGCGGCCCTAATGTAGGCTCGCCAGATTTGGCTCGAGCACGACGTGTCACGACTACGGTTTTTCGGGCTGTGCCAACTTGCACGAGCCAATTTGGCACATCGTTCCCACGTCGAGTGATCTACTTACGGGAATGTTTGGTTGGGCTGCGACATCAAACCTTGCACCAGCATCGTAGGTAGCCTGCTGTGCGATGATTACTTGTGGAGCCGGAGCTGGTGCGGCTGCAGGCGCGTACTGCAACAAACACGCTCGTCCATTACTCTATATATACGCCATATTTTTTGCGTACAGATATTTTCGCGAATTCAGACTTGACAGACAATTTCGCGAGTGGTTAATTTCGCGGTCGGTGAATTATGAATTATTCGGTAGTATTCGGTATGAATTATTCGCGTGTCGTTATTTTCGCGGTCGGGGACGCGTTCGCGAAATTCGCGAAAATTAAACCACTGCGAAATATACCGCGTGTACAGTAATACACGTCGCCACATCAACGCAACCACTCACGATTCACGTCTCATTGGTTGGCGGTGCTACATGTGCAAGCTGAAATGTCCCTGGCATTTTACACATTGTTAAATGGCAATGTTAAAAGTTAGCTGATGGCTATTGTTAGCGTTGGGAGCAAGATTGCCCTTATCACTGCAACTGGTGACATTGAAACGTCAACTGTTTATAGGTGTAGTAACGCTGACACTTGAAGTTTAAAACTCGTAACCATGGCTTACTACACAGCTCTTAAACTGAACAAGAAGGTGGTCAACCCCAAATTACAGAGTACCTCTGTAGAACTTACCGGCGCATACGGGGGTGGTGCATCATAGGCACCAGGTTGTGGTGCATACCCTGGAGCACCAGGTTGTGGTGCATACCCCTTATCGCCAGATAGTGTTGGATATCCCGCAGCACCAGGTTGCGGTGCATACCCTAGAGCACCAGCTTGAGATGGATACGCTGGAGCGGTCGGATAGCCTTGCTGTCCTGCAGGATAACTCGGTGGCAGCGGTGCTGAAACATCACCCCCAAATAAGTTGACTAACTAATAACTAACAATAACTAATAATACGTTACCATAGAGAAAAACTAGCTAGCATATATCTGCAATCACTCCCTGCAATCGCACGAGAATTGACATCCGCATGCCATATAGTGCAACACCATATTATGTATAGTAGCACCCGAACCAAAGCACATGCGATATTAATGATCAGCATTCGTTATTAGTGACATGCTAGTATGGAGTGTGTGAATAATGGCGTGACTAAGGCCTGAGATTGATGTCCAATTGATTGTAGCACCCTAAAGTGACCGCATGTATATTTGTCATTTTTCATGGTACCCACTATAGCCAACTGTATCGTATTTGTACCTTTCCAGGACAGACGGTCTGGCTTGATCTATATTCGCATCAATTGTGTTGGGTTAATTGTTATTTAAAAGATTAGAGCTAAAGTTTGGGTTGGATTAAGGTTATACTAGCACTGCGTATAAATCGCTACATAATAACTGGTGAAGAGCATGCCTTGTGGTATGAAATATGTTGCCTGTTGAAATCAATGATGCCTGCTGAAATCAATGATGCCTGCTGAGCAGTGCTGTCCCTTCCATAAACAACGTTTCTTACCACCGAGAACCAATGTGATAAAAGAAACTGCACGTGCACTTTTAAAATATCTGTCAAACCTCACAAAACCTTTGACTGTACTACAGAATTATCTGTCAAATCCCCAAATAATGTTCCTGCAAGATTTCACTAGCTGTAATTCTTTTATGGAGGAACAAGAGCCAGTAAGCTACAGTTTGGGTGTTCTGAGCAAAAGAAAGCATTTTATAGGGTGCTCGCCACGATTGTTTAAATATGGCATATTCTAGTCTTATCTCTCTTGACTGTGAGTACGTATGGGAAAAAAACTATCAGGGTTGAGTGTTATTAAATGTTTGAGGCTTGTTAAGCAATGTTTCATGCTTGAGGAAATGTTTATTGAGTGATACTTAATAAACTATAGGTCGAATACGGCTAGGTCCTGTCTTGTCACATTGCTCAGTTGACCCTAGTAATATGCTATGATTTGTCACACGCATAGTCAGCTCTAGTAATAGTATAATTTACACCACATTTTACATATATAGCAAATCAATCATTGCCTGGATGCTCAGGCAACAGAGGTTTCTGGACCTCGAAACTAGAAATAATTGCATGATTCACATTTGTTTGTTTTTGGACCTGGTAGTGGTCGAATAGAAAACAGTATGAATCAATCTCAAGCGCCAGTCAGCAACACGTGTGTGAATCAGCATGATCTATAGATATAGGGTTAGGGTTAAGTACTGTTAGATGCAGAGTAACAAAATACACGGCTATGTAACGTTAAACACAAAAAATGGTAATCAAAATCCAATCGCAGATGTATGACCATGCTATTACTCTCACAATTCCAGCAATTGCTACAGAGAAATTACACAGGAAATTCTACTTGCTGATACAGAGCAATACTATATATATATACAGGGTTCTCCCCAGGAAATTTATAATATCACAGGGCATGTTGTTTATGGATGGATAGGGGAGGGCCTGCGAAGGGGGGTTGGGCCAAATGGGGGTCACTAACCTAGTCAAAAGCAGCCACAATACACAGGTAAACTATGCGAGTTCAGAGACGTATACATGAGGGTGTACATGGCTACATGCACAGCATGACTGTGTTGGGATAGTTCAAAAGAACACACAGCTGGAAATTAAGGTATGTTAATTAGCTAATTAAGGCACATTGGATGTATGTGACATGACAAATTGTCTTTAGCTTGGAAAGCATGTCAAACCAACTTGCGTTAAAACGTCTGTGGAAAATCCTGCTATATTATTAAAACATGCATATTAGGAGGGGTTTGTGATTACTTACTTCTATTAGTTCAACATTAATTATAATTATATATATATTATACATATTATTTTATTATTATTATTAATTTTTTTGCATATAATTCAATTAAAGTACATGTACTGAAAACAGTCTTGTTCACAGACAACAGAGAAAAAATCTGGTGGGTGCCATAGAGTTAATATTAAAATAATCAATTTTTATATTTTGGCATTTATTTTAAAGTATGGAGCTGCTTACATTTTATACATTAATACAACATTTATCACACCAATACCGGTAGCAGTTTCATTTACATTCCTTTGCCCAATTACAACTGAAAGTAAATAAAATTTTACTGTAAAAATGTGTATGTAACGTGTTTATGTGAAAAATGTTAATATTACAGTGTTACATACACTCTCAAAGTCAAAGTCAAAAAGCATGCACAAAAAATGTGTAGTTAGTACATGTTAGTACAGCAGGTGTCTGCAGCAAAAAAAGAGCAAAGGTTATTAGAGCATGCATACATAGTCTATTTGCTCATGCAGGCTAGGGTGAATTTATATTTATACAACCTGATGCTACAGGGTCTTTGGAAGAGAGGCAACATCCCATATTTGAGGCCGGGATATAATATGTAGGTCTAGTTGACTAGGCTGATGAGTGATCTTCTTTTCTGTCTAGCTGAAAACAGGAGTCAGTTCATTTAAATACAGCAAGTCTCTTGGTTAAAATATCAAGAAAATATGGAATTGGACAATATTGAGTTACAAAGGTCTATATGCCACGGCTCTCAAACTATTATGTGTTATTCCAGGGCATGAAATTCGCCACAATGTGAACAGGCCCACCCAAAATTTTAAACAGGCCCTTAGACAAATAGAACAGTCCCTTACAGTACAAGTTTGAACAGACCCTTAATTTTGTTCAATTTATTCCATTATTAAAATAAAAGTATTAGCTTTGTGTTTATTAGACATACTCGTAGTATTTCAGTATTTTATTGCTGCTATTAGTGGAGTTCTACTTGTTTGACAAGAATTGCTGGAACATGATTTACTTCTTAGTAGTCCCTAAGTAAAAACTAGTCAAGAAATTGGTAAATATTGTTGATATAAAGGCAAGATAGGCAAACTTTTGAATAGGGCAAGTGGACCGATTATATGTGGGGTTGACCCCGTGTCCGCCGGTAAAATAGCGCTACTTTCGCGCACTGTTATTCAACTGCTTACCAGATAATGTATAATGGTCGAATCGACTTCACATAACTTTGTGAAAATACGGTTGATACCAGTGATCTTACTCACAACAGGGGTCAAAATTGAAAAAAAATTCTGGTACTGGGTGCAGTACCAGAACTCAAAATCTGGTATCACGAAAATAATTCTGGTACTGCACAGCAGTTATGATACCAGCGCACTAAGGTTCTAGTATGATAAGTATCGCACACAATTTGTTGTTCTCAGAATATCAAAATTGTAGATAAATTCCATTCATCATATCATGCACGCGCCAGGAAACTAGGCTAGACTAGTTCCAACGTAGCACTCTCCACGCAGACGGCGCTATTTTATGATAATCATGCGCTGATCTATATATATAAACATATCAGTGATGCTAACGCTATTAGCGTTAGCGCAATGTACTCTAGGTACGAGATTTCCAACTTCGCTGTAGGCAGTGGGCGTAGACTGGCATCATTTCTTTTGCATATTCGCATAAATTTATTAACAAGCGCTGGTTGCCACACTATCTCGCTCGCTATTGCAAATGGCCGCATAAAGATAAAAAATCTATGGTACCGCTGTGCGATACCAGTGCTTTGGTTATGGTAACGCATAATGAAATTCAGTATCGCGGCGGTACCGCGATACCGCCAATTTCGGACCCTGCACAACATATGAGCACACAATACTGAGGACAATGTGAAGAGGGCTTCATAGTCATTACTAGAAGCACATGCACACTGTTAGTACTTTGATGGTAAGATCCTGCATCCTGTGCCTTATTTTATAAAGAAATAGCAATAATTATGTATCGGTTAAAACAGATATGGGATTTGCCCGAAGCCTATGGATCCTCAATAATAAATTCGATATTGTGACATAAATTGTAATTGAGAGTGAAGAAGAAGCATACATGTCATTAAATAAAGTGCCAGGGAAGTGAAACCAAGATAAATGAAAGTGTCCGACAGAGTGAGAGATCCGACATTATGAGAGAGATTTCCTATCTTAAGAGACATCTGAGACTTTATTATCACACTCATTTACCTGGATACCAGCTGTCCAAATGACACGCAGCTAGGAGTTAGGATGCATAGATATATATGCTTCTATAAAACCACTTTTCCACAATAGCACTGAAACTCGTTAGATGTTTGACACAGTACTGCCACACACGAGGATCGTTCCACATGGCAATTACTTTATGGCTAAAAAAAAAATGCTTTCTACAGTCTAGTTTGGCTCACGGTTCATATAGTTTGAATAGGAAGCCATTTGTTCTGGATTGTATTAATATAACATGAAACATGTTTTTGGTTCCAACTGTTCTTTTCCTTCGATAAATTTTAAAGTTTTAAGTAGAACAGCTTTTATGTGTCTGGATTCCATGGTGTGTCTTTCGAGTCTTTGTTCATATATGGCAACTCAATATGAGCCCCTATCTGACATGCTAGTGATGCTGATAGGGTCTACGTCTCCCTGGATACTGCCAGACTGTACCCTGCCTACTCCCAACCGTATCCTGGCCTGTAGGAAGGATCGAAACAACACTCCCTGTGGAGTAGGCGGGGTACGGTCTGGTATACCAGACAGTTACCAGGGTACGTTCTGGTATACCAGACCGTACCCAGGAAGACATATACCCTAGGTATCAGCGCTAGTGACCACCAACAAGATCACAGACATTTCAGCCGTTCCAATGATAAACTGATAGTAAATAACAATTAAGTTGTATTTACTGCCAAAACCTTAACGTTCACCTACTCTTTATGGCCTATTATTAGTAATAATTCCCCCATAAATTGTGTTTAAATGTTTTTCTTGCAACTCACAAACTCATCGCATGCATGTCGCAATGCAAAAACTCACATTAAGATAGGCCTAGGCTATAGCCCGCGTTCAATGAACGCGGGCTATAGTACTAGAGCTACCTGGGCTGTAGACTAGATTGCGCCACTAGACACGATTAGATGCTGTCCGATTAAGGATTAGATAATTTAGATTATGCTAGGATAACTACAACGGAAAAAATACACATTCAAGCCGACACAAAATACAGACCGTTTTAACTCTTCTCAGTTCTATTTTATATTTTTAATTTTGTTATCTTTACTTTAGTCTTTACAGACTTTAGTCTTAGACTTTAATCTTACCCTTCTCGGGGTTGTTTTTCTGTTGTTCACTCAAATTTGACATCGCTGACAACAGCACTCTTAGTCTTATATAGATGAATGTCTTTCACCTCTTACTACGTACTAGTACCTATATGATATCAAATGCAGTCTACAAGTTACAAAATACTCTACAGCCTACAGGTACAAGATGAAATCATGAGTCAGTTACGATGAGTAAACATCCCGTATGTGACATCATCAAAACATGTGATCATATGTTTACTGGAAACGTTCTCGCGAGATGGCACGATATTAGCCATGGCCGACTTTAGCAGAAGGTTGCCATATCTATGACACAAACACCGTGGTTGCTTTGTAAGTTCGTTATATAGTTGTAATCGTACTACGTTTTATAGGTTTGACATTCAAAATTATATTGTACTGTATAATTAATTGACCTAATTGATAACGAAAGAGTGCGTGAAAGGGCTGTATAGTGTTCCAATTTTATTGTTTTGTTACTTCATCCCGCCAT